GTAGTTCGGTATTGATTGTGTATTCCATTCTTCCAACAGATGGTCGCGTAGTAGTTTGTTTTGGTTCCACTTATCTCTCGCATTTCCGGGGGTCTGGTATGGGAGTAGTAAGGAGGCGATTCGGTGTAAGCCTGTTCTTTTGATATTTGCTTCTCTGTATGGGAGGAGCTCGATCAGAGATTCGTTGTTGGGGTGGGTTGCGTCGGTGCAGAGTATTCTAGTTCCGTACTTTCTTGAGCGATATGTCAGGAGATGTTCTAAGGGGGGTAAGCCTGCTTCTCGGAGGAGTTTAGTTCTTTTGGTCCATCGTGGTAGGCCGGTGATGACCCGGGCCGCTTCATTGTATAGTGGTTCGAGGGATCTTATAATGTGGTCTGCGCCAGTCCACCAAGCCTCGGATCCGTAGAGTAGACTTGGGAGGAAGCCTTGTGTTATAATGTGATGGATTGTTTTAACCGTTATTCCTGGCAGGCGGGCGGTGTATCGAATCTGGTGGAGGGCTTTAAGGCCTTTTGCGATTGCTGCTTCAATATGGGGCCGGAAGGAGAGGGTCGGATCTATCCAGACTCCTACATATTTCAGCCTCTCCTTGGGGTGTATGTTGGTATTGTTAATTTTGACCGAAAGTCGTGGTTGTTGTGTGGATGATGTAGTGGGCCGGAAGAAGATCAGGTCAGATTTATCCGAGTCGTACTTGATTTGGAGTGGCTCAGCTTTTATTAGTCTCTCTCTCATTCGTTCCTCCATTCTCTTGATTGTGAAGCCTGGTGTTTTGGATATTTGCACCAGTGCATCGTCGTCGATATATGTGGTGTCCATCTCTTTCGGGCTACTTGTTGGGTCCAGGATTACTCCAGCATAGATCATGAATAGTACCGGGGACATGGGGCTACCTTGCGGCACTCCAGAATCATAAGGCTGTGGTTCCTCTAGCTCATGGTTAAATTGAAACTGTAGTTTTCTGCCGGTATTGAATTCCTTGCACCATTCTGTTAAGTAGGTAGGGAATTTTTGTTGGTACATGATTTCCGCGCGGAGTAGGTGGTCGACGCAGTTAAATGCTCCTTGGATGTCGTTGGTTAGGATCGCTGGTCTGTCTCGCCGAGCGACTCCGGTACTGTTTTTCAGTAGTAGGTTTTGTTGTATTGGTGTCAAGGTTCTCAGGAGGGCGTCGATTGCCGAAATGGTTGGTCTTCCTCCGAATTGATTCGCTGAGAGTGTGCCTAGGATTTCTCCAGCGGTGCAAAGTCTTTGGGCCACTATCTTCTCCAGAATTTTGCTGAAACATTGTAGAAGGGAAATGGGCCGGTAGGTTTTCGCTTCATGGTAGTTTGCTTTACCGGGTTTCAGGATCGGGATACACTTAGCTATTTTCCATCCCGTTGGGTGTACACCGTGCCGGAGCATGGCGGAGAACATGTCTTGGATTAGAGTTGTATTTGCTCTGACTATTGCTTTAATAAAGGTATAAGGGATGCCATCCGGGCCGGTCGCCGAGTGCACTGGACAGGAGTCGATTGCTTTATTAAGTTCTTCGGGGGTGACTATGTCGAAGGTGTTGCTAAGGTCAAAAGAAGGGGGTCTAATGTTTAGGGGGGGATGGTCGGGGGATGTCCATTTCGAGGGGAAAAGTTGGGCTCTTAAAGCTTGACACTTCCCCGCAAACGTTTCTTCACCTTGTATAGTTGGTATGATTGTGTCTCTTCTCCTTCCTGCGTTTAGGATTCTCCAGACTTCACTACCTTTCGCCTCGTTCATCGTCGTTTCCCGCTGGTCCGCTTTTGCTTTCCGGATCATGACTGTCCATTCCCTGCAAGCCTTCCGGTGTTCTTCCACGTGATTGGGTTTCCTTGTATTTCTCGCCTTCCTTTCTGCTGCGTTTACCCTTGCCTTCATTTGTTTCATTTCATCTGACCACCAGGAGTTGGCTCTTACCCCCTCCTTCGAGAGCGGTGTTACTATGCTGACTGTTGACCTGACCAGGTCTAGGAAGAAATCGACAGTTTGTTCCGTAAGTTCCTTGGTTTCCCATGCCTCTGCAGGGATGGAAATGTTTGACATGTGGTTCTCCAGTAGCTTCCAGTCTGTTTGTCACCACATTCGTCTTGGTACAAAAGGTGGTTTCTCCAAGTGTAAGTGGACGGAGGTTCTCCCGTGGTCTGAGGCCGCTCGATAGGGTTCGGTGCTCCATCGTAGGTTGTGGTCGAGTGTTGGGCCTTTAACAAATGCAAGGTCGATGGTTGTGGGCCTTTTCCCTCTGTCTCTGGGGAAATGCGTAAAGACGCCTGGTTCGTTCAGGAGGGTCAGTTTCTGTCGGGTTATCCATCGTTTTAGCCGTGCACCATTGACGCGGTCTGCTCGAATGTTGTTTCTGTATTCATGTGAATTTACTCCGTACCACATTTGATGGTGGCAGTTGAAGTCTCCCATTACTAGACAATTATCAAGGGTTTGGATTGTACTTGCTATTTGAGCGAAGGGGCCACTTCGGCCTGGGGAGTATATATTTAGGATTTGGGTTTTCTTGTTCTGGATTTCTACCGTAATCGATACTATGAAATTATCGTGTGTGTAGTGGTGTTTCGGTTTGAGGTTGGCATGTTTGCGGACGTATGTTGCACATTTTGTATTGGTGTTGCTGGCCGTAAAAATATAAAAGAGATTTGATTCTGGTGGGTATCCCCCTGCTGAGGTCCATGGTTCTTGTAATAATAAGAAATAAATACTAGAGTCTGTTTCCGCTTCTTCTACCGCCGCCTTGGTAATGAGTTCGCTCCGTGCACAATTGAGTTGGTGTGCGAGCGCGGTGGTTCGAGGCCTAAGCATTATTTGTCATGTGTTGGTCGTCTTCAGGAACGGGTGTGGCTCCGACTGGGGCGGTGGCTGGTACTTGAACTATCGGAAGCAACTCTTGGACGGGTGCGGCCGGTGGGTCTTGAGCGGGTGGAGCGTTTTCCTTTCCTTTGTTGAGGAATCGGCGTTTGACTCTTTCGGGGTATGCTGGATCGGAGGCCTTATGGATTCCTTTACAGTTCAGACATCTGATTGGGGTGTGGGTGCATCTATATCCTCCCTGGCATTGATTGCATGGGTGGAAGCTGGTGAGGTGATCTCCGGCACAATGACCGCATCTCCCATTGTTTTTGCATTTCTCCTGGCGGTGACCGTATTCGAGGCACTTCGCGCACTGGGTGTCTGGGAAGGTTGGGAGGAAGGCCTCGATGTGGCAGCTTCGGTTAAAGAGGGATAGGAACTTAACTCCTAGTGTTTCCATTGTAACTTGTCCTGGGAGCGCGATGACCATTGATGAGTGGGTTTTCTCCATTCGAGTCTCTGCTCTGGAGATCCAGCGCGGAACCTGGGCAAGTTGGAAGTTCTCTCCATAGTTGCTTCCAATTTCGGATGCTACCAGTTGTCCTGCCTCGACGCCTTCTCCGACCGTTGTGGGGATTCCGTCAATAAGGAACTTTGACCATTTGGAGTTTGCCCGGATGATGGCAACTGGTACTTGTAGGGTGAGGAGAGCCTCCTCAATTTCTTTGGCGTATTCCATTGCCTTTGTTGCTGGGGTGACAAACTTTGTTTCTAGGATAAAATTATCCTTGGGTGTTCTCCTTGCTGAAATGAAGTGGCAGGATTCGTCCTGAATTCTTGCATTGACTAGGGTCCTGATCTCGGAGGGATTGACGTCAGATGGAGCAGTGGTTTCAACAATGATTTCTCTGTTGATTTTGGTATATTCTGGCTTGAAGAGAGGGTCCGCTTTTGGCTTTGCGGACTTCTTTCTTCTTTCAACAACCTGAAATTTTCCTTGAGCAGGACCGGGTGCCGAGGCCACGGCGGCCCAGGTGCCTGCTTTCCATCCACGGGGTGGGGCTTGTTGGGGGGGTGCAGGTGGGGGGGCCTGAGGGGCTGCCTGAGGCGCTGCTTGGGGAATTATTTGAGGGACCGCTGGAGGGGGCATTCTCTGTCCCTGCGGTTGTTGTTTTTGCTGTTGTTGCAGTTGTTGCTGTTGTTGGTTTTGTTGTGGTTGTTGCGGTTGCTGCGGTTGTGGTTGTTTGTTGAGGAGAAGATGGATCGCCGAGTGCATACTGGTGATCATAGTTGTCTGCGCCTCGATTTGGTGCCTCAGTGTGTCCACTGTTCTCCGGAGTGTGGTCGTTTGCTCTTCGAGGATTTCAATCCTGTCGGTGGGTGGGCAGATTCGGCTGGTGGCATGTCTAATGGCTCAGGTAATATAGTTCAGGTCCGTCTGGGTGTGAGTGTCCTGGGGAACAACGCTTGGGTAGAGGTAGTCAATTCTCGGTTGGTATGGGTCGTTGTAGTCGGATTCTGTTTCAAAGGTCGAGGAGAATTCTTGTTCCTGAGCTCCGGATGGGGTTGGATCGGGAACCGGAGTATTCCTGTTCTGCGGAGAGGCTGTCCCTTGCTGGGAGGACTGGGTGAAAAAGGACTGGAGCGAGGCTTGTTGCGACATAATTGAATGTCCAGTTCTTCTGGCGGCGTAGAGTGATGTTTCGGAAAGGTTTCTTTTCCTTCCCTTTGGGAGGTCAAGGCTGGAGAATTCTTCGCTAGAAGCCAGTTTTCTTGGTGTTTCTTTCGCTTGGAACAACAAAACGCGACCGTACGATCAGGGACGAAGTGGCTCAACCTGGTATGGTATACCAGGGTAAACCGAGGGGAATAAAATAAAATGTTTTGAAGCGAGGTTTCTTATCAGGGAGTTCTTTGCGAGCCTTAGTGAGCAAGTAGAATACAGAGGTTGCGTAAAGAAGAAAGGAAAGAAAAGGAAACAGAAGAAAGCCGAGACAATGCCCCTTTATATATTCAAACCTCAACCCACGATGACTCATCTTCTCGCATAACAGAAACAGAAAGAACATAATAGAAACTCACTTAACAAATCCCACACACACTACACAATCCTTCCTTTACATACTCTGACACTTCACATAACCGAAACATATAACTGCCGTTACAGACCATTCCCCCTCTAAGGCTTACCTCCTGGTAGGCTTAGGCTTCCGTGGGTAACGTTCATGGAATCCTTTAACAACATCGGGCGAATGTTCGACGTCCGACAATGGTTGCCAAGAAGCTTCATCATACCCGACATACTTCACTAGATATTCGAATCTCCCCCGACGCTTCCTCGAATCCAAAATATCTTCAACCTCCCACTCCTCCTGTCCTTCGATTTCAACTGGGGGTGGAGGTAGTTGTTTCTGACCGGGCAAGGGATCATTGGCTGCGGGCGACAATAACGAAACGTGGAATACCAGATGAATTTTCATTGACCGAGGAAGTTCCAACTCGTAAGCATAGGGATTGACAATGCGCTTAACGTTATAAGGTCCAATACGTTTCCAGTCGAATTTCTTAGAAGGTCGCTTTGTTAGAATATGACAGGTTGATAGGAAAACCTTATCTCCTAAATGGTATCGAGGAGCTGGAGTTCGATTCCTATTGGCTGATTCTCCTTGTATCCTTTGCGCTCGAAATATCTCTTCTCTTAAGAAATCCACTACATCCTTCATTTCCCTTGCAATACGGTTCGCTTGATCCTCCGCCGTCGTTTGACCATGTTCCAAAGGGCCAAAAGTTATTCTTGGATTTCTTCCCGAATTGGCATAGAATGGGGAGACCTTTGTTGTTTCGGAAACGTGGTTGTTGGTTGCAAATTCAGCCATCGGTAGCCATCGGACCCAGTCGTCTTGTTGATAGGAAACATAGCTTCGGAGGTATTGTTCCATTATGGCATTGATTCTTTCTGTCTGTCCATCTGTTTGGGGGTGGAATGCAGTAGAGAACTTTGGCGAGATTTCCAATCGATCACAAAGGGACCTCCAGAATTCCGCAACGAACTGTGTTCCTCGATCAGATACCATAGTGTCGGGTAATCCATCGAGACATCTGTCCAGGGCCCATCGGGAATTGGCATGGGGCGAAGTACTCCACAAGGTGCATTGTGTGATGCCTTGCTACGGGTACACACATTGCAATTCTTAATATACTGATCGACGAACTTCCGCATCTGTAGCCAGTAATATTCTCGAGTTAGGAGCTCCAGAGTCTTCGCTCTACCGGGATGTCCTGCTGATGGTTTATCGTGATATTGCTTCAAAAGCCTTAATCGAAGATGATTGTCATCTGGTACATATAGTACGCCTCGATAAAGTAACCGACCGTTATTATCTTCCGTACATTCGGCAAGCGAAATCTTAGTCGAATGGCGACCACCATTCCGAAGCATAGCAAGGATCTTATTTGGGAAACTATCCACTTGGTAAGCATTTGAAAATAACTCTTCTACAGTGGACGCTCCTTCAGCGGATTCATTTGACAAAGAACCCGCGAACAAACTTAGCTTGGTATCCAAATTTTTCCGCTTCAAAATCACTTGACTTTGATGCGTCAACCGTTCATCCCCCTCTTTAGGTAGGTCACCTGACCTTCTAGTCAATGCATCTGGTTTCGTTCCTTGTTTTCCTGGCCGAAATTGTATAACGAAATCGAAGCGTGAAAGAAATTCGGACCAACGGGCTTGTCGACGATTTAACAATTTTGTTGTCATAAAATATTCAAGATTCCGATGATCACTAAGAACTTCAATTGGGAATTGAGCTCCTTCCAGGTGATGTCACCATTCTTCGAAACATCGTATAATTGCTAAAAGTTCTTTATCATAAATTTCGTAGTTACACTCTGCAGGAGAATGTTTCTTGGAGAAGAACGCGACTGGATGTAGGATTCCTTCGTTGTCACGTTGAGGTAGGATTCCTGCTGAAACATAGTCGGATGCATCGGTTTCTATTACGATTTTTCGATCCGGATTAAAATGAGCTAGGATTGGCGCCGTTGTAAACATCTTTTTCAAAGTTTGAAATGCTTCCTCCCTTTCATCCGTCCATTCAAATTTAACATTCTTCTTCGTCAAGGCTGTAAGTGGAGCAATAATTTTTGAGTATCCTAAAATGAACCGCCGATAAAAATTTGCAAATCCTAGAAATACTTGAACATCACGAAGGTTTGTCGGTGTGGTCCATTCCAAAACATCGATAACTTTCTTTGGGTCCATTCTATTTCCATTCGGAGTAAGGATTAAACCGAGATATTTCGTTTCCTGAACCATAAATTCAGATTTTTCAGGTTTAAGGTGAACATGATTCTCATCAAGTACCTTTAGAACCTTCTGAATGTGTTCTTTGTGTTCTGATAGAGTTTCGGAATAGATAAGGATATCGTCTAAGTATGCCGTTACGAATTGGTCGAGATAGGGGCGTAAAATATCATTGATCCAATGTTGAAAGGTAGCAGGGGCATTAGCTAATCCAAATGGCATTACTGTATATTCGAAATGTCCATATCGAGTTCGAAATGCCGTTTTCCATTCATCTCCCTCCGCTATCCTGATTTGATTATATCCCCAACGTAAATCCAACTTGGTATAGTATTGTGCTCTTGACAACTTAGCCAGGGTTTCCTTTAACAATGGTAATGGATATCGATTTTTGATTGTAATCGCATTTAGACCTCGATAATCAACCCAAAGTCGAAGGGTTCCATCGTTTTTCTTTACGAACAATATAGGTGTTCCCGCTGGTGATTCACTAGCCCGAATAAATCCTTTGGGTAAATTTTCATCAAGATATTGCCGTAGTGCTTTTAACTCGATTTGAGACAATCCATATATAGGTCCATATGGTGATCGTTTGCCTTCTTTCAATACTATTTCGATATCATGGGATAGTCGATGTGGTGGAAGAATTGAAGCATCATATTCTTTAAACATATGGAGACGATGGTGAAAGTTCTTCGGTACTAATTGTTCAATGTTGACAGTAGATTTTTCAGCTGCTGAAACAATTACTGTATGGTGTTCCGGTAGGGGAATCGAGATACCCTGAACAATAACTGCAGTTCCACTGATTGAACAGTACTGACAACAGTTTCGAGAGTCAAAAACAAGTAAATTTTCTTTCGGTCGAATCGTAACATCATGTTGTCGCATCCAAGGTATCCCCATCACAATCGGATAGTGTCCTAACTTTGTCACAAAACATGGCGCCATCTCCCGATGACCATGAATGTCTAGCGAGACATCAACAATATGGGTGATTTTTCCTGATTTAATAGGCCTTCCGTCTATAACGTCTACATGGCGAGGTATTTTAAGGGAGGTCATTGTAAGATTGTTGTGGCGTACAAAAGATTCATCAATGAAAGCATATCCTGATGCTCCGGTATCAATAAGGGCGTAGGTAGGTATGAAAGAATTTTTATTCTGTGAAATCGAACAAGTTACTACAAGTTGATTTCCATCCATTTCCTCCTCTGATACCGAAAAACCAGAAATACACATCTTAGAAAAATCCTTAAATGGTCCCTGGGCTAAGCCACTTAGTGCAGGGACAAATCTTTTGCCGACTCGTTATCGCTTCCGCCATTCTCTTCCACTGTCAATACTGCTCCTCTCATAACAGGTCTCCTTGGTTGATTTCCAGTTGCCCTCGCTTGGGGGCAATCCCTAACCATATGCCCGACACCTCCGCAATAGAAACATCGGCCCTCAGCTAAGCGGGCGTTTCTTTCGCCAGGGGTAGGGTGACGACGTCCTCCAGATAGATTCATAGGTACATCACCTCCAGGATGGAACGAGGGGTGATTCTCAGTGGCAGGTGGGTTGGCAGCAGGGGCAGCAGGACGTGGAGCAGGAACAGGATTTGTTGGTGGGGGACGCGGAGCCGGGGTCGCAGTAGTAGTCCAAGGTTTTTTACCACCTCGCTTAGCTTCCGCCGGCCGTCGTCGATTATCCAACCGTTGCAAGAGTGTTGCACAACCATCTACCGTTGCAGGAGTCTCATGGTGTATCATCGATTCGTCCAGTTCCCCATTAATTCCTTCCATCAAAGCTTCAATTCGAGAGACTTCATCCATTCCCGATTCAGCAGCATACCGTTGGAACTCAGCGAAGTAGTCAGCGAAAGTTCGAGTGCGTTGTCTGATATTCCGGAGATTTCTCCTAGCCGTACGCATTCGATCGGGGTCTCCAAAAGCTGTATCCAGAATCTCATAAAACCGTGTCATAGAATGTAAAGCAATACCTTCTTCTCCCATGTACTGTAAGAACTGATTGGCAGCAGCTCCTTACAATCTGCTGAACGCATACGATAACTTAGACTGTAGTGTAGGTTAACGATCGGTATTTCCTAATAGCTTGAGTTTCATTTGTTGCTTCAATAAGTGTAGCCTTTCTCGGTCACGATCCCCCCTGAACACGTCGGGGTCTGGGAGTTTCTCCGACCGATAGGTGGTACCTGTAGCTGGTGGTGCTGGAGGTACAGGTGGAGCATTGTTTCCAATAGGTTCTTCGTCAGGGGCCACAACCTCAACAGCAGTTCGTTGAGCTCGGGCAGCAGTAAGATCTCGTTCAAATATCCTTCTTGCCCTCTCTGCCTCCGCTTCTATCTCCTGTACATCCGTTGCATATTGAGTAAGACCATTTTGACACTGTTGAAGAAGCGCATAAGCCTCAGCTCCGACCACGTTGTCGACCTGTGGATGCGCTTGAAAAAATCTTTGGAGGTTATCGTTAAGTTGTTGATAATCGACATGGACATGTTCCGACATTGTAGACTATGGTGTTGTATTGGTTGGCGATAGAGGACGCAACCTACGTATCACGGGGACTATAGGCGATAGACTGTGGTGCCAAGGAATACAACCTAGGTACTGACGTAGACGTGGACGTAGACGTAAAGGTATACTTTAACTGTGGACTATGGGGTGGCTCTACTTGGTATGGTAAACCGGTTGGAGCCCTATGACGTAGTGCGGACAAAGAATAGTATTCGTGGAATAAATACAGAGGTTGCGTAAAGAAGAAAGGAAAGAAAAGGAAACAGAAGAAAGCCGAGACAACGCCCCTTTATATATTCAAACCTCAACCCACGATGACTCATCTTCTCGCATAACAGAAACAGAAAGAACATAATAGAAACTCACTTAACAAATCCCACACACACTACACAATCCTTCCTTTACATACTCTGACACTTCACATAACCGAAACATATAACTGCCGTTACAATTCCAGTCAGAAGTAGGTAGTGGGACGAGGATAAAGAATGCCCCTAGAGTATCGGGGCCCACCACGGTAACCATTATGGAAAGTCGCATGAGTTCCGGGGGTACTGCATGCTCTTTCCCTTTGCGAGAGCGTCTTCCGGCTGCCTGACCACCGCCGTCATCATCATCAGCATCACTATCACCGGTAGCCTCTTTGAACTGACGGTCCCCCTGTCCCCTTGATAACTTATCCTTCATACCAACATCCGCGATGAGCCACTGTAGAGCACTCGTCAGTGCTCTATGGGCATCGGAGTCACCCCCAGTCCAAATTGGCAGAAAACCGTTGAGGGAGGGCAGGTTCATTAAGTAAAGGCATAGGGCATTAAACGCAATCAATCCGGAGGTCTTTTTATTGACTCAACCTACATTTTGCATTTCCGCCTTTAGGCTGTTGCGGATACTGGTGTACACTTTAGATAGGTTGAGTAGACCTAAAGTCATCTTCGCTTTGCTTGCTTGAGTCATCTTGAATGCTCTCGAGCTCGAGGATACCTCTTGAACACTCGGGGATGTCTCTTGGACAATCGGCGATGCTCGGGTCTAATTCATCTCTGTCGTACTGGTAAGGGGTGGTCTATTAGTTCGGATGGGCTTGCACTAGAAAATAACCGAGGGGACCATCGGGGCTTGAATGTAGGGGTCTCCAGTTCAAGAGTCTTCGGTGGAGCACTGACGGGTGTTGTTGAGCGGCCAGTTGCTGCTGGTCCTGTTGAGCGGCCTGTTGCTGGGCCTGTTGAGCGGACTGCACTAGGCTTGGACCGAGTGAGAGCTTGACTTGGTACTATGGTCTTCCGGGCAATGTTCTTTTGTGGAGCACTAGCGGGTACTGGTGCGGTAGCACTAACCCTAAGTACGGTCGTCCGTACAAGGGCCTCTGGTGAAGCACTGGTGCGTGCTGAGAAAGCAGTGGAGACTGTTGCTAGTGGGCCTGTTGCTGGACCTGTTGCTGGCTCTTGATCGTCACTTATGTATGGTTCAGAGTGTTCGGAATTAAAATCGGGAAAGCATTCGGAATCAGTTAGAGTTGCTCCCAAGTTACTCAGGAAGATCCCTTCAGTGTCCGATGGAGCTAGGTTAGTATTTGGCGGAGTCCGGGGTTCAGTCCAGATTGGTGGAGGTACGGGGTTTTGTTTTCAGCTCTTGTTGATCGGGGTGAACCCGGAAAGCACTGGCGACTGCTTCGGGGGTGTTTCTGGTATCTTCTGCGGGATAGGCTTGACAGTTTTGCGGGACGATTTGTGTTTCTTGGTTTTTCGGTGGGTCTTTTCGTTATCGTCTTCGTCTATGTCACGCAAGCGCTTCTTATTGGGAAGTTGATTTGTATTCTGTGAGCTACCGGGAGTGCTCTGAGCGGTGTTTAGAATGTATCAATTTGGTGAGTATGGTTCTGAAATTAATTGGAGTAGGAGAGAGAAATACCACCTTATTTATAAAGATTGTAAAGGTTGAATCGCTTGAAAATGGAGGAACTTGAAGGATGAGATTTTACTAGGTAATGTTGAAAGTAATGGAGAACTTGAAGTGATAGGTAGAGGAGAACTTGAAGATGGTTAGGAACTTCTCATGAACTTGAAGGAAGGGAGGAATGCTCTTATACCGAGTACCATCACCTTTTCTTTTTGAGCTTATTACGCTTGCGTGAGCACCCACGAATGCTATAGAAGTACTCGAGGGTGCTCGTACTCAATGTTTGCTTCAATATATGATGATCTAAATGCTCCAGGCACACTCGGAGATGCTCTGACGGTACCAATTGTGATGTCGATAACATTCTGGTGTTGGGGTTGGTGCTTGTGTTCTTGTTGGTATTGGTGCTCTGTCCCGTAGGAAGCTGAGTTGGAGAGAATGTATTCTTTGAGCTCGTAGTCGATATTAGTGTTGAATTTAGCGCTGAGAACACTGTCTCGACCTGAAGAGACTCCGCGAGTACTCAGGGAGAGAGTGAAGATGCTCAGGGCGATAGAATCTAGCATAACTGGCCACCTGATTGGGGTGGTGGGTGTTTCTTCTTGTTGGTGTTAGTGTTTGTATTAGGTTGGTGATGTATGACATCAGACTCGTATTGAAAGTCAGACTTGCCGACCGGGGTGCAGGTGAGAGCCTCATTGGCTGACAAATCAAATCATTCGAGCACTCTGCAGCAGCACCTGCAGGAAAGAGCCTCCTCGGCCTTAGCAGAAGTCAAATTTTCAGAGCACTCAGGAGTGCTTTGCTAGAATCATGAGACTTCAACGAAATCGTCTTGCCCCTTTTACAGCAAGTGGTACAGCTCCTCCGCAAACTTCGATAAACATCTCCGAACTACACATACATTTGAAGCAGATGAATGGCTGAGAAACCAATTTTTACTCCTGGACCACGATCAAGAGACACCCAATGACACTCATGACAGCCTGGAAGGCATTCACGATTCCTATTCAGATGCCCATGACAATTCGGATAGTTCAGAGAGCAACAGTATCAATTATCATGACCAAGATCCCGATAATAATTCAGATCTAGAATCCGATTCATATTTTATGATGGAAGAGGCAGATAGAGATGCAAATAGGCATGAGGCAGCGACAACGATTTACGAGGGTGCTGTGGAGCATCTCTACCACTCGGAGCACTACAACGAATGCTCACAAAATCTTCTCCGATACCTGTGTCTCAAGGGGGTGAGTAGCGGTTATTCCGCAGGGTACGAAGAGTGTAATATGGGACGGTAGGGGAGCTCGCAATAGGGATGCTACGGAGCTCTTAGCGTTGGTAAGGTTCGACGAGACGAGGAGAAAGCGAGGCGGTGGTCTTCTTAAGGAAAGAAGAGGACGATGGTATTGTATAGTAAATAGACAGCGTAGATACAGAAGACGTTGCGTAAAGAAAGAAGAAGAAGAAGAAGAAGACAAAATACAAACAAACCCCCTTTAATATACTCAAGGAAATCCCAACGATGACAAATCCAACCTGACTCATACATTAACAATCAACGGAGCCCGGTAGAACCCAATAGAACCTTTCTGACTAATCCGACTCTTCATAACCCCGTACCTCCACTAGTCGATCCATGAAACTGTGGCACCCATTCCACTCAGCATATGAGTTTAGAATGGCACGTTATTTCATACTGTCGAAGGCCTCACAAGGAAATACCGACAGTTTCTTTCTACACGCTTCGTCAAGCAGTGGCGAATGCTCCTACAGGACTGGGCGAGGTTTTATAAGGAGGTTGGAGGAAATGAATGACATATTGGGAAAGGCGAGCTGGCATCATTCGGAGGTGGATATTGGGGGAGAGAAAATCCCTTACTATTACCGGGATCTAATGGCAATTGTGCGATATCTTCTAGGCCAACAGGCCTTTCAGGAGTCATTGGTGTATGCACCAGTGGTAGAGCGTAATGAATCTGACGAGAGAATGTACGGGGAAATACATACGGAAGATTGGTGGTGGGAGACGCAGGTCCGGTAAGCCTCACAAGTGCTCTAAAGGCAGTCACTAATACTTTCTGGACAGAATACCTTACCGGAGAGGTCGACTGTGGTACCAATTATATTCGCGTCAGATGGCATACATTTGACAAATTTTAGTGGGGACAAGAAAGCCTGGCCAATCCATCTTACCATTGGGAACATCAAGTCATGTGTCCAGAGCAAGCCCACCGGGCATTCGTTAATTCTCCTAGGGCTACTGCCAGTCCTACCTAAGCTCGGGAAGAACTCACTAGCTAATTCCGCTTTACGACGTCAGAGTCAAATGGCGCTGCATCGCGCCCTTGGGGAGATCTTTCAAAGCATTCGAGAGTGCTTTCAGGAAGGCGAGCTAATCGCATGCGCTGACGGGTACGAACGTCTATGCTTTCCGGTGTTGTCGGGTTGGATCGTTGATCAACCTGAGCATTCAAACTTACAAAAATTAGTACTAACTCTTGTCCAAGATGCGAGGTGGAATTCCACAGTCTTGGGAGCACTCGCCGGAGCCCTACGGGCGATTACGAGGATTACCGGGAGAGAGTAAAGCTATTCAGGGAGAACTCGGGAAACCTGGGACTGGTGGAATACCTTGTCGCGAGATCAGTGAAGACACTCTTCAATGCTTTCTGGGGTATGCCGAGAGTTAATCCATACGATGTCAACAAACTGGACATTCTGCACAATATCTACCTAGGGATGTTGAAGCACATGATGGAGTGGTTTCAGGCTTTCTTGAAGAACCACAATCAATTGTAGGAATTTGACAAGGCTTGGGTCTCGATTGCGCCTTACACTGTACTGGCAGTACCGAACAAGACATATCGTGCCACAACCCAATGGCAAGGGAAGGAGATGAGAAATCTGGGGTGGGTCATTCTTGGAGCACTCGCGGCTGCTTTGAGAAACCCGAGGGTGTCTTTCAGGGACGACTTCGCAAAGGCATTGAAATGTGTACGAGGCTTAATCGACTTCCACTTAATGGTGCAGTATGGGACTCATACGACGAGCACACTGAATTATATGGAGAGCTATCTCGAGGAGTTCCATAAGCACAAGAACATCTTTTTATAATTCTGGGCGTACAGGACGACCGTTAAGGGTGTGAGAGATCGGACAAAAACCTTGAACGCCTCAGGCTCCCAGAACGCTCAGCGAGGCTTGGAGGAGATTCGCGAGATACGAGAAAGGTCTCACTTCAACTTCATCAAATTGCACGTGTTAACGCACTATCGGGAACATGTTGAGCGCTTTGAGAGCATTCCACCGTACTCCACTGACATCAGCGAACTCGCCCATGTACGTCAGATAAAAGAGGCATACGGAGCATCCAACAAGGTCGATGCTGCAAAGCAGATACTGGACTATAGGGGGCGGCGGTTGGCATTAGCGATTCGAATGCTGAATTTGAAAGACATTGTTGGAGGTCCTGAGAGCACTGATGACATCCTTTGGAGCCATCGAGATAACCTGAAGCAGTTACTTGAGATTTTTAAAATCGAAGGCCGGAAAAAAACACCAAATGAACGATCCATAGTAGAAGGCCGACTGCCTCTAAGGCGTCTTTGCAACCCCTCCACGAAATCGGAAAGACTTTTCAATATTGTGGATGGACTACAAATAAGCCATACCGCCTTAAATCGCCTGATAAAGGAGTATGCAGAAGATGCGGGATGCTCTCAAAGCTTTGCTGGAAGCTCTGAGAGCATTTTAGAGCGCCGGGTGGAGATGTTCAAATGTTTGCAGGTTCCGATACCAATCTTCCAAAGACCTGAGGTGTACAAGGTTCACAATATTAGGTGTACGGGAAATGCCACTTTTAGGAAAGGGAAAATAAGAAAGGATTGGGTATGGGTGTCTGTAGCGTCCTCAGAGGAGTGGGGAGTTTTTCGGGGACGCTTACCAGTACATGTGGAGGCTTTGTTCAAGCTGCGGGACAGTGAGGGGCGAGCACATAGACTATGTATAGTGGAGCTACTCGAGGCAAAGGATCGTGGTATCGCGAACAGCTTACATGGGCTCCTGAAGGTTTGTAGGAGGAGGAGGAAGAGGGTGTGGATCGTTAATATTCGGAGTATATTGGAAATGGGCCATTTGTTTGAGGTGGAGACTGGTAATTAGTTGGTAAATACTAGAATAGACTTGCGTACGTGGAATGAATTTAGTTGAATGTTTGTAAAGCCGTGAGGGCATTCCTGAGTGCTATAGAAACGTTAGACCCAATTGGACTCTCTAATTCAAACTTCGTGTCGTTCTGCTAAGCATGCGGACTGGAAGAAGGAGGTAAAGTTTCACCCGCTCAGTATCTGAGTCTGACTATCCAGCAAGCTCGCTCCAGGAGGGCGCGGTAGGCAGACATTGGTCTTCCGACCAGTAAAGTCATCCTGCACCTTTTTCCAGTCCATGTTTGTTGCTTATGTATGGACATTGAGCTTTTCAGACAAGCCGTACCATGGCCTCAACCTCAAGGCTAATTATGCTTTTCACGAATCGACAGAAACATACATGTCCATCAAAGGTTGGGTAGTCGTCACCAGTAAACAAGACAGTGCTTGTATCAGTATCCCGCCACTGACCGTACATACAGCGGCATATAGGATACCCACACTAGATATCATTTGAGGGACCGGTGCCTACCTATCCTTCCTTGGAAAAACGCTTATCAATCCAAAGGGGACTAAGTGAGGGTTAATTCACCTTGAGTGAGTATGACGAATGCCTCAACTCTGTGAGCATTGGTGAGTGCTCTGGGAGCACTCGCGGAAGCACTGGCGGGAGCATTCGCGGGAGCATTCGCGGGAGCATTCGCGGGAGCATTCGTGGGAGTATTCGCAGGAGCATTCACGTTGCCGTGAGAAAATTCGCCGTGCCGTGAGAGCATCCAAGAAAACTGTGAGAGCATTGAGAAGTGCTCGCATGTACTACTGACGTAATCAAAAGAAGCAAAAGTTCCATAGGTGCTGTGGGTGGGCTCACTCCATCCTAGCGTCTCCGGAGGGGGAGGGAATCTCATGGCGGCCCAAGCGATCAGAGCATTAGTGAGTGCCCTCCGGACGTGAGCCATATCTCCTGGCGGTCCCGCAAAGTGGGGCGGTCCTGCGGCAGAGCCTAGCGCGAAGGTGGTACTCTGGGGGTGCCTGACGCGCTTGGCACTCGGGGCGCAGAATGCCCGCCAGGTCGTAGGGGCTGCGCCCTGGGTAATAGACGAGCTTGCTGATGTATGCATGTAACGGCAGCTAGACGGGTTGGCTATGTGAGTTGTCGGGGTGTAACGGCAGCCATGTGGTTTAGTTATGTGAGGTGTTAGGGTATGAAGAGGAAGGATTATGCAGTGTGGTTGGGTTTAGCGAAGCGGGTTTCTATTATGTTCTTTCTGTTTCTGTTATGTGAAGGTATGAGTCAGCATTGGGATAGGGTATGGATATATAAGGGGGGTGTTGTCTCGTGATTTCTTGTTTCTCTTTCTTTCTCTTTTCTCTTTATGCAACCTCTGTACTTCACCGTTACGAATACTATTTGGTTCGCGCTACGTCATAGGGTTTACCCGGTATACTAGACCAGGTACAACCATCCATAGTCCATAGTCCACAGTTCCCGTTTTCGCCTTAGGTATACCCTTCGGCCCCATAGTCCATAGTCCACGAACCTCCTACGTCCAAGTCTTCACCTCGGTTGTATTCTTTGGCTTTATAGTTCCTACGCCCACAGTCCCCGTTACACTTAGGTTGCATCCTCTACAGCCAACCAATACAACACCGCATCGCTTAGCTCAGGTCGCGACCATGTCCGACACCACTCAAGATACGTTGTTGCAGCGTCTTTCAGAATTTCTGATCACCTTTGGTCCCCTCCCAGCCGATATAGACTTCGGCGAAGAACTTACGGAGGCTCATGGTCTTATTGCTGAGTGTTTGGAGGCTCTCACCAAGCCTCTTGACACCCCCGCACCACTAGAACCCGTTATCGACACGGCTCAGGAAGAGGTCATTGCCGGCCTTACCATGGAACTCGAAGCAGCTGAAGAAGAGGCTGCCGATCTATTGCAAACCTTGTCCGAATGCCAGGAAGAGTCTACCAAGACCATCCGGGGCCGCGACGAGGCTATTGTTACTCTGAAGATTGAGCTCGAAGAATCAAAGGCCGAAGAAGAAGAACTTCAGTATCGTCTCGCCCTACACCAGGAAAGTCTCGCCATTGCCGACGAGAACCTCGCCGATGCTGAAGACGAAATTCTTCACATCATCTCTGCTGCAAAAGCCTGGGAAGCCCAAGCTAATGCCACTATTGCCGGCCTTCGTTCTCGTATCTCTGTCTCCGCCGCTACGGTTAAACCTCGCCATGTCTCCAAGCCTCACTATCTGTCCCCTCGCTCCAAAGATCCCCGTACCATCAGCAATTGGCGAGAAAAGCCACTTGAAAATGGGTCCCCAAAGCCGGCGTTAAAAGGTCAGCCCCTTTGGTAAAAAATGGCAAACAAAAGGGGCCAGCCCCGCCATCTGTTCTTGTTCTCCCTGCTGCTGCTGTGTCTGAGGATAAGATGTCCGAAGACTCTCTTGTTGTTACCTGTTCGGTCTCCCAGAATCCCGACTCTTTTATACCCACCTATGCCCTTATTGATACCGGAGCCTCTGGATACGCTTTTATTGACGAATCTTTTGTACGCCATAATAATCTCACAATGACCCGCCTTAAAGTACTTCGTCAGGTAGATGTTATGGATGGGAGACCTATTGAATCAGGACAGATCACCCATATTGTCAATGTGTCGCTGGATATCCATGGTCATCGGGAAACTGCATCATGTTTTGTAACGAAGCTGGGACATTATCCAATTGTGATGGGAATACCTTGGATGCGACGTCACGATGTTACGATTCGGCCGAAGGAAAATTTACTTGTTTTTGACTCTCAAAGCTGTTGTCAACACTGTTCACTCAGTGGAACGACAGTCACTGCCCATGGGATATCGATCCCTCTACCGGAACATCATACTGTTGTCGTTTCAGCAGCTGAGAAATCCACCGTCGACGTCAAGCAACTAGTACCAAAGGAGTTCCACCATCGTCTCCACATGTTCCAAGAATATGACGCTTCTGTCCTGCCGCCACATCGACCATCCCATGATATTGAAATCGTATTGGAGGAAGGTAAACGACCTCCATATGGACCAATATACGGCCTGTCCCAGATCGAATTAAAAGCGCTACGGGAATACCTTGATGAAAATCTACCAAAGGGATTTATCAGGGCTAGTGAATCACCGGCGGGAGCACCCATACTGTTCGTAAAGAAAAGTGATGGGACTCTTCGACTCTGTGTGGATTATCGAGGCCTTAATGCAATCACGATCAAGAATCGATATCCGTTACCACTGTTGAAGGAAACTTTGGCCAAACTTTCGAGGGCACAATATTACACCAAGTTGGATCTACGTTGGGGGTATAATCAGATCAGGGTAGCCGAGGGAGATGAATGGAAGACGGCGTTCAGGACTCGTTATGGACATTTCGAGTACACAGTAATGCCATTTGGATTAGCCAACGCTCCGGCCACATTCCAACATTGGATCAATGATATTCTACGACCTTATCTTGATCAATTCGTAACAGCATATCTGGATGATATCCTGATCTATTCGGATACCTTATCGGAACACAGGGACCATATTCAGAAGATTCTAAAGGTACTTGATGAGAATCATGTTCACCTTAAACCCGAGAAATGCGAGTTTATGGTTCAGGAAACGAAGTATCTCGGCCTTATTCTTACCCCGGATGGGAATAGGATGGATCCAAAGAAAGTTGTTGATGTGTTAGAGTGGTCCACACCAAGGAATCTTCATGACGTTCAAGTATTTCTGGGATTTGCGAATTTCTATCGGCGTTTTATCTTGGGATATTCGAAAATTGTTGCTCCGCTCACAGCCTTAACGAAGAAAAATGTTAAATTTGAATGGACAGATGGAAGAGAGGAAGTAGCTAGGCTGTATATCGATAATGTTTGGAAATTACATGGACTCCCTGAAACTATGGTATCTGATCGAGGAACACAATTTGTTGCGGAATTCTGGAGGTCCCTTTGCGATCGTTTGGAAATATCACCAAAGTTCTCTACAGCGTTTCACCCCCAGACGGATGGACAAACGGAAAGAATTAATGCTGTGATGGAACAATATCTTCGAAGTTATGTTTCTTATCAACAGGACGACTGGGTTCGATGGTTGCTAATGGCCGAGTTTGCAACAAATAACCATGCTTCTGAAACGACGAGAATCTCTCCATTTTATGCCAACTCAGGGAGGAATCCGAGAATGACTTTTGGTCCTTTGGAACATGGTAAGACGACAGCGGAAGACCAAGCGAATACCATTGTACGAGAGATGAAGGATATACTAGATGTTTTACGAGCTGAATTGTTCCGAGCGCAAAGGATTCAAGAAGAGTCGGCCAATATAAGCCGGACTCCAGCGCCTCACTATCGTATGGGGGATAAAGTTTTTCTATCGACCCGCCATGTCCTCACCAAACGACCATCGAAGAAACTCGATTGGAAACGCATTGGACCGTATGTCGTGAAACGGATCGTTAGCCCTTATGCCTATGAGTGGGAACTCCCTCGTTCTATGAAAGTTCATCCCGTATTCCATGTCTCTTTATTGTCGTCTGCAGCAAACGATCCTTTACCAGGACAACAACAGTTACCACCACCGCCGGTTGAAGTTGAAGGACAGGAGGAGTGGGAAGTTCTCAAGGGGGTGAGTGACGAGTATTCCGCAGGGTACGAAGAGTGTAAATAGGGAGCGGTACGGGAACTCGCAATAGGGGTACTATGGGGCTCGAGCGTTGGTAAGGTTCAACGGGATGCGGAGAAAGCGAGGCGGTGGTCTTCTTTAAAGGAAGAAGAGGACGAGAATATTTGTGTAGCAGTAGACAGCGTAGATACAGAAGACGTTGCGTAAAGAAAGAAGAAGAAGAACACAAAATACAAACAAAAACCCCCCTTAATATACTTCAAGGAAAATCCCAACGATGACAAATCCAACATGACTCATACATTAACGATCAACAGAACCCGATAGAACCCCATAGAACCTTTCTGACTAATCCAACTCCTCATAACCCCGTACCTCCACTAGTCGATCCATGAAAGAAGTCGAGGATATTTTGGATTCCAGGGATCGTCGGGGAAGATTTGAATACTTGGTTAAGTATGCCGGTTATGACGAAGCTTCCTGGCAGCCATTGTCAGATGTCGAACATTCGCCCGATATTGTTAAACGATTTCACAAACGATATCCACGAAAGCCTAAGCCTACCAGGAGGTAGGCCGTAGAGGGGGGAGTGGTCTGTAACGGCAGCCATGTGGTTTAGTTATGTGAGGTGTTAGGGTATGAAGAGGAAGGATTATGCAGTGTGGTTGGGTTTAGCGAAGCGGGTTTCTATTATGTTCTTTCTGTTTCTGTTATGTGAAGGTATGAGTCAGCATTGGGATAGGGTATGGATATATAAGGGGGGTGTTGTCTCGTGATTTCTTGTTTCTCTTTCTTTCTCTTTTCTCTTTATGCAACCTCTGTACTTCACCGTTACGAATACTATTTGGTTCGCGCTACGTCATAGGGTTTACCCGGTATACTAGACCAGGTACAACCATCCATAGTCCATAGTCCACAGTTCCTGTTTTCGCCTTAGGTATACCCTTCGGCCCCATAGTCCATAGTCCACGAACCTCCTACGTCCAAGTCTTCGCTTCGGTTGTATTCCTTGGCTTTATAGTTCCTACGCCCACAGTCCCCGTTACACGGGGTATAAGGGAGAAGGATTATGCAGTATGGTTGGGTTTAGTGAAGTGGGTTTCTATTATGTTCTTTTTGTTTCTGTTACGCGAGGGTATGAGTCAGCATTGGGATAGGGTATGGATATATAAGGGGGGCGTTGTCTCGTGATTTCTTGTTTCTCTTTCTTTCTCTTTTCTCTTTATGCAACCTCTGTACTTCACTTGCTCGCCTCCAGCTCGCAAATACTCCCTGACAATTAACCTCGCTTCAAAAACACCTTTATTTTTACCCCCCTCGGTTTACCCTGGTATACCATACCAGGTTGAGCCACTTCGTCCCCGATCGTACGGTCGCGTTTGTTGTTCCTAGCGAAAGAAACACCACGAAAACTGGCTTCTAGCGAAGAATTCTCCAGCCTTGACCTCCCGAAAGGAAGGAAAAGAAACCTTTCC